CTTAAGATACATCTATATACCAACATTCATATTCAACTACCAAAAAAAGTTCAAAAATTTGGATATTTTATTTTTTCTAGCAATAAAAGATTGATTCCATACTTTTTTTTTAAATTAAAAATTAAATTGTATTTTAATATAATTTAATATATTTTAAAATTATAATTCATAAATTGAATTTTAACATTTTGATAAAATTTAATAGCAAGAATTAATTAAAATGATACTTAATTTTATTTATCCATATAACTTTTTAATGAATTATTATATTTTAATTAATAAAACTTTATTCTATATACATATATTTAAATTAGAACTTAAAATTTATAAGATTATTAAATAAATTATATCATAAAAAACATAAACTAATAGTTTTAAATATATTAATTTCATAGAATTAACAAAAACTAGTTAGTACTTAAACCTAATGTTTTTTTGGTTATTTATGTTAAAAATATAATTTTTAGTTGATTTAAATTGATTTTATTACTATAAAAATTTACAAAGATATAAAATATAATTTTAATCTTATAATTTAATTAAAGAAAAAAATTATAAATTATAATTTATTTAAATTTTATTTAGAATGTTTTAAGAATTTTTAGAAAAAAATTTAAGTCTGATAAAATTAAGTTTTATCACATATGAAGCTATTATAAAGAAATGGAATAAGATTTAGAAACCATACAAGGTTGTAAAGCTAACTGGATATTTTTAAATACCATGGTAAAGTCAAAAATACAAAAAACAATAGTCCTACTAGTAGAAAATAAGAAGACTAGCACCTGATGTAGTCTTTGTAAAAAAAGAGATGTACAAGTTCTACATAGGTTGTAGCACCTTAGACGTAGCTAGGAAGATAAGACTAAGGCCTCGTGGCCTCTTTATGACACTCTTATTGACTACATGTGAGTGTTAGTGAGGCTTGAATCCTTGATCTATAAGTAACTTATTCTTCAGATAAAATATTTTTAGTTAATTTTTAAATTAATTCCTTATCTTTAAACCTTCATAACTTATTCATAGTAAATTAAATTTATATTTTTTTATATTATTAGAAAGATAATAAAATTAACTATTTATATATATAATTTTTATTTTTTACTTTTATTTTTTATTAGAATGAAATCCAATGATTAAACTATGAATAAGTTTTGAAGTATGTAATTGCTTGATTACATTTATATCACTTATTTTGTGTTTTTTTGTTTTTTTCTTGTTATTTATTTGTTTCATTACATACCACTAATTACAAGAAAATCTGAATTTAGGCCATCTTATAATTTAATTGAGTAATAAAATTTATCCTTGCAATATGCTAGGAACATATTTATATAAATTATAAATAAAGTTAAAACTTGTTTGAGAATACATTAGCATATGATTGAAAATCATTTAAATATATTACTATTTATATATTATTTATTTAATATAATTATAATAAAAATTTAATTAAAAAAGATGCAAGAAATTTATATATTATCTTTTGAAATTAGAAATTAAAAAATAGATATTTGTTTTTAAAATATTTTTTTAGTTTTCTGGTAACTATTTTATTTCCTTTAAAAATTTTAAAACTTAAGAAATTATTATTTCAATTAAATTATTATCAAAAAAATATTATAAAATATAAAAATAATAATATTATGACATTTTAATAAACTAATGGTATTCGAATTTTTTTTTGAAGATTTAATATAAAATTATAATGTATAATTTTGTAAAAAATAGGCTTAAAATATTATAAAAATTGGAAGAATTTTTTTATTAAAAATTAATTAATATTCTAGTAAAAGAATTTTAAAATAATAAATAATATTATAATTTATAATTTATAATTATATATTAATTATATTATATGAAAAAATAGTCTAATCATAAAAAAGATGGTATTGTTAATAACTATCTCTGAAATTAACTTTTTAAAAAAAATCTTATTTTATTATATTTTTCAAATAATCAATATAAATTTATACTATTAAAAAATCTTATTACTATTATTATATTTTGAAGTTAAAATTATTTTACTTTACTTTATATTTCAACTAGTAAAATTCATGAATTATTAAAAATGATGTAAAATAAAAAATAATTAATTACTAAGAACCATTTAGACATTATTTTCTTTTAAAAATTGATTTGATTATGAATCGTTTAATGCTTACTTGTGGTGTAAAAATTCATATAACAAGTAGTTTTAGTAGTAGAACTTTAAAAAATCACATAACTTCAAAAAAGTCATATAACTTTGTAAATATTTTTGTTTTGGCTTGTTAGTTTGTTTGTCTTTTTTGCCACTTATACTCTTTGCCTATACTACCTTCAATTTCTAAGAATTGATATTTTAATGTGTTGCTACCTCCACACATTTAAAATAGTTAAAACTAGATGAAAAAATAAAATGAGAAATCTAAAATTATACCTGTTACATATAAATTATTATTTCATTTTTGAAATGATTAAAAAATAATGAGTAATAAATTATATTTTTCATGTCTATTGGATGCATATTTTTGTATCTGTAGCACCATAAATATACTACAAGTTCTATTGTGATAATAATAAAATAAAATATATTTATGTTTTTAGTTCTTTTTACTTCTCTTTTTTCACTACAAAACAAATAATATTACATCCCTCAGAAAAAGAAAAGAAAAACAATGCAATTGCAGTAACATAATTCATGCAAATGAAATAATTCTACTACAAAATTTTCCAACAACACATGAGACATATGTGCTCACAACCTCACAACTTCCACAATAGCATTCTTCAAGTGCTAAATCTCTTTTTTAACAAAATGAACATGACTTGTGAATCATTGTTGACCATGTTGACAATGGCATGCAATGGAAAGCAAAGAACTTGTGGGCAAGGATGAACCTTTTACCATCGCTCAAAAAGATGCAAAAATGATTCACGCAAAAATCAACATGCAAAAATTGCATTTTCAATAAGAGATTATAAGGATAAGAAGACGAGTATCTCACCCTCCCCCTCCCTTCCCCCCTTTACGCGCCCCCAGCGTGCTTGAACCAATGTGGGTTCCGCCGGGAAAAACCGCGCAGTCTCATCGGCTTGGTTGCCCTCCAAAGCGTCTGACGTGGCTGGTTGGGTTGGTCTTGGGGGCAAAACGGGGCACGGTGGTGGGGCACCCCCGACCGACCATTCCTAGAATCCGCAAGATAGCTACCAAAATTTGTCTGCGGGAGGTGAGGCGAGGAAGTGTGGGGGGGGGGGGGACTCGATGTCTGCGTGTGTAGGGCGATGTGAGCTTCGCAGCAACTCTGCTCCTCTGACACAGGTGACGTGATCAATCGTGATGCGCCGGGCGCTTTATCGATTCCTAAACTGGAAGACTGACTGTAGACTAGAACAGATCCCACCAGATGGAGCTGTTCTTGATCGCAGCATTCTGCGCCCGGTCCGTCATTTTGAATGATGTGACCCCCCCCCCCCTCCTGCAAATTCTGTCTGAGCTGCTTTATCACTCTACATAATTCTAGTAATCTGATCGGCACCATGTTCCATCATGGCGGTTGGGGAGATCGGTTCCAGAAATGGGTTTTGAAGTTGCCCTCCGTCTTTCTCGCCCTCCGTGTCATATTGGGGGAAGGGAGTTATTTACTGGTGAGGAGGTTAATTAGCGAAACTGACGTTTTCACCCCTTGGTGCTTTTTTGACATCTGTGCGGGCTTGCTCCGGGTTCTCGGTAAGGGTGGTGCCGTGGTGGTAGCATTAGTAGATTGGTCCTTTTCTATTACCAGCAGACACTTTGAGTTCCGTGCCATGTCTGCGGCACTGCCCCATCGCCTAGTAGTTTCTGCAGACTAACTCTCCGTGTGCGAGGAAAAAGAATTCTGGTCAGTTGGCCTATTCAACGCGGCTTGCGATTGAAAGGTTCAGGCTCGGGATAATCAGCACATTAATTAATCTGTCTCTCATTCTTCCTTCAGTGCATATCAAATTTGTTTGAGCTCTTCTCACCAGAATAATGCCATTTATTTTCTTCTGAAAATCTGATTTCTCGCTTAGAAATGTCACATTCGTGTGGCAAGTTTGGAATTAGTTCAGCCTGCGAAACCTCAAATCGATTAATTGGCGCAAAGATCGAGTTCAATCTTGACTCCTCTTAAAAGCATATTGGCGTAACCTCCATGTCCCTGTATCTACATCTGGACCTACCACAAGGCCTATTTGTTCAGGTGCAGGTCATGAAGTCTTCCAGGGCATACATTTGGTGATTGCTGGTCCTGTCCCTCGATAGTGTGGCACTTGCTGGGCTATCCAAGACCTGAAGAATTCGAATTTTTCTAAGCATAAGAGAATGTCATGTCTGTACAGGATTTCTTATTTTTTTTATTTTTTATTTTTTTATTGTTCAAGCCTGCAGACAACAAACCACCTAATTATTCTATGGCACACTTGAACCCAATTCACTGGATTGTGGTATTCATAGTGATGAACTTCAAGGTTTGATTTTACGAGGAAGTATGTATTACACAACTTAATTTTAGTTTCAGTAGTGCCAGGTTATGTATGGTTTTACCATTGTTGGAGCATCTCACGATTGAACGAGAATTAGACTGTTTGCACTATGTTGAACAGCTGTTTATTTGCAGCTGCATTAATCCTTCTTGAAAGCGGTAAATAATGAACTCCGTTTTAAAAACAAAATCGGCTCAAAGTGTAATGTTCTGCTTGGGTTAGGGTCACTCGTAAGAGATTGCGAGGAGGTTGCGAGGAGTTCCCTTTGTTGACTTTAAAATATACTTTTATAAAACAACTGGCAAAGAAAAATCGCTTCATCGCATATCCGATAGCGCTGATCTAATAGTGGACGAGATTTTCGGTCAGTAAGTAGTTCGTCCGACGAAGAACCGAACTGTCGGTACGTTTCTCGTTGGGTCAATCCACAGTTTCATCTCTTCTCAACGTTCTTCACGAGACTGTAGTCGATTTCAATATTCTAATGTGTCTGTACGTCCAAACGCCGAAACTGAGTCGTGGTCCCAAATTATTGGCAAATGTATGCAGTCCGCATGGTCAGTACCACAATTCAATGCTGATTATCGTTGGATATTGCTACTGTTGGCACGAGTCTCGTCATCTTTTTCGTTTGATATGCAGCGTGTCGGTACTGCACATCTCGAAGCCTACAGACACATTGCCTTACCAAGCTTTTAAGTGAGGTTTATACCATGATGATTCAAACCAGTGCCCTTGCTCGAAATTTAGTCGGTACCTAGAAAAGCCGTAGTGTCTTACCACAAAAACCAACTCTCTGGATCTGCTGTAAATCGGAAACAAGTTATTATGGCGGTGTCGACGCAGCCCTGATCCAAAGGCTCTTTTCGACGCACTGTTGCTTCCCCAAGTGTTCTATCTCTTTCTTACATTAGGAGTCGGTTGTCGTGCCGTGAGACGATACAATTGGTAAAAGATCCAACAATTATAGTGGGCTCCAGAACTTATCTCATTCTACTACTGAATCTGTCGGGGTCTTGGCGAGCAGAGTGGCTTGAGAGAAGACACTTGGTGCTCAGAAGAGAATCGTATTGACTTGAGACTCGTAAGTCTGGAGGAAGCGGTAGATTCGTTGGCCGGTGCAGCAGTGCCGCTGGTGGGGTCTCACGCAGCAATCTGAAGGTATATAGCAGCATCCCACATACACTAACCCTGTCATGTTATGTCGTTGTCTGTCACATCTTTAAAACCCTTCATCACCTTCAAAACATTGTATAGATTTCTTAAGTCTTAAGCTTTTTACATACAGATCCAATTATATAGTTCTAGGGTAGTTCTTCCTCCAACTTATGTCCAACTTCATTCTCTGTCCAACTTTTCTATGCTTTCAGTTAGGTTGCCTGTTGTCTGCTGTCTGCAATATAAATAAATTGTGCTTTCACAAGAGTAGAATAGATAGAACTCTTCACCAAAAAATTACGTAGTGTTGCTGCGAAGATTACAAACTCATCAGGTAGCTGATGTGCATAGAAACGTCAATATAAATACGATCATGCATCAGTCAGTTGTGAATGAATTTTTGAGCAGGACTTTATGACTGAGTAGGGTTGTGGAATACAGAGGATCTAAGATATCAACTAAAGATCAAAGTGTCCCTTTAGAAGTCAGTGCTTCAAACCTCAATAGCGAGAGAAGCGAGAGCGAAAGTGATTTTCCGTTCTGATAGAGATAGCTAGGAGGAAGATTCCGTCAAACTCAACCCTCTAAGATGCGTAATGTTCCATACAGCTTGACGCACTCCCAAACCAGGGAGTTTCAGGATTATAGAGAGGGGCCTCTCGTTAGGCAGCTCATGAAAGTCGACATTTCGAAAGGATATCCTTCAGCTATCAAAAATAACTACGACCTCATATCGTTTCCTACGGACGCCCACAGGTACGATTTTTATTTATTTATTTATTTCCACCATTAAAGCATAATGTAAGTCACTTAAAAGAGTACCACTGACATGTACAGCGTGGGAAATGTCTACTGGATTGTACGTCATTGCAGGTGCTTGGTTTTATTTTTAGTTGTGACCCAGACTGTGTAACAGGCTAACTCTCAATCTCAAGTCTTGCAGAGCAATGGTTGAAAATGGTGATTTGATGTACTCGGGGAAGGCCCCAAAGAAAACTCGCGCCAAGGAAAGCTCCAGATTCTTCGGCGTTCGGTTCAGGAACGATCTTCAGAAGTGGGTCGCAGAAATCCGAGTCGCAGAATGGAAGAGCGTCGACAAGAAAGTTTGGTTGGGAACCTTCGATAGCGAAGAAGGTGCTGCTCGCGCTGTAGATGCAGCCAGGAAACTTCTCAAGTGCAAGAAGAAACGTGCTTTCAATATCCATAGCCCTGAGTTGGAGGCATTCTCAGAGAAAGAAATGATTCCACCACACTTAAATTTAAAGGATCTCCGGGACGAGTCGATGTTCAAAAATGTCACCGTCTTCATTAAAAGGAAAGCCCAAGAGTACGCCGCAAGTTTCAATCCTTACATACTCACTGAAAGCTCAGAGCCCCTTTCAACTTTCACTCACGTCGATTTGGATTCTAGGCCATATGATATTTCGTCGCAGGAGGATATGACAGTCGCTACACCCTCCTTAAAAGTAGAAAATTTGAATGATTTTGAGGATGCCCACTATTCTGAAGTCGCAGGTCCATACTCCGACATGTGCTCTACATCAGCTAGCAGTTTCAGCCCTCCGTCACGTGTCTCAGATGGCTGCTGGATCCGATCAGGGACATCTCCGGAGGATAATACTAACTGGTTCCAGGTCGATGCATCTAGTTTTGAGCACTGTCAAGATGGCGGAGGTTATGGCTGTTTCGATTGGCAGGAACTCTCTAGTAAAAGTTCGTCCCCACACTCTGATGATGCACTGGAGCACGAGGCAACTACCTCACATTGTCTCACACGGCCGGAGGAGCAGGAACTTGCTTGCTCTGAAAGTTCAAGAATGGAGGCGATTCCATTGGATATGTGGGATATATTCCTCGAGACATTCTACTCTGAAAGTCAAGCCAATCTGGATCAGACAGCCATGGATATATCTACTGGACACGAGGTGAAACATTATGACATGCTCTACTCCTTTCTTCACATACTTTCAATGAACTTCCATGTAGCATAATTCCTTCCCAGCCAATCCACATCTCGATTGATGTTTTGGAACCGTTTTGTGGAATTCTGTGGCGCAGGAACAGCTCAATTTCGACATCTACACACCTAACCGAGCGCTCCTGCCACAAAAGCAGCTGCCTGAAGAGAACATGGATTGGCATTACAACTCTCTTTCAAGTTTGAATCCATGTCTCATGAATCCATTTGAGTTTACACAGGCCGTCTACTAGCAAATCACTAACTACTGTTGTGACCATCGATTACTCTAAATCTCGATTGACGAAAAATTGTCTTCAATGGAAGGACAAACCTAAGTATTCGTAGGCTTGTACAGTGCTTGCATACTTGCATGTATCATATTCTTTTTGTAAAATATTATTTTACCAATTTATTGTGTGGAAGTGTCCAAATTTGGGCTTCTAGGATCGATATTTTCTGATGAAACTCACAGGGTTGGTCTCCTCGATCACCTCAAGTTGTGTCCCTTCCATCTTTCCTTGAGAAAGGGGAAGCAAAGCTTGGAAACCTTTGCATCAGCTTCTCGACTCCCAAAGCGAGTTGGACTTAATATCAACTCCGCACAGAACTAACCTGTCACAATTCTCATCCAATCGATATTCCTTAAACATCAGAGCATCTCAAAGTGTGTGTTTGGTGGAATGTTCTGTTTGTCTACCTTTTTTACTGTAAGCAATTGCTACATAGTATGTGACGTTCCTCTTGAATTTTTAAGACGAGATTTTATGAAAGTTTTTAGTACTATAGATAGAAAATAAGTTTAAATGTTTCTGCATGATAAGGACTTAATTTTTAATTTTTAATTCTTTTAAAAACAAAATTTCAAGTTTAACCTCTTACATTTGAGCATAAAGATAAATTTAGAATTTTAAAAATATAATTTTACAGCATTACAGATATGATTTAAAATTCACAATCTATTACCACCTTTTTATGAATGAATTATAAATAGTTAATTTTTATATCTTTGTGCCTTCTAATATTTCAACTTTTTCATATATTTTTTACATTTAAAAACTTATTTTTGGATATTTTTAAAAATTATCTATAGTTAATCTATTTTAATTCTAAAATTTAATTTTTTTCTTAAAAAATTTTGACTATTCTTCTTAGTAATAATTTTTATTTGGTGTCAAAGATTGCAAAAAAAATAAAAATAAATAAAAATCTTCTAATTTAACTTTTGTGTTATTGGTATTTTTTTTTTTTTTTTTTTTTTCATTTTAAGTGTAAATTATCATAGATAGAAGGAAAACAAACTATAAATGCTATTCTTTGAAGAAATGACAATAGATTTACAACCACTATGAATCTTTAAGATCTATTTAATATTCTTTAAGAAAAAACTTATGTATTAACAATCTCAATTATAGAGGCACTATTAAAATATTTTTAAAAGAAATTAACAATGAATTTTAACATCTATATAAAAAAATTGGATGATAAAGAGAAACAAGTAGAAGTAGATCAACTTCATTAATAGGTTTTAAAATCTTACTTTTATAAGTGTAAAAGAACTAAAGCTCAATACATCACCAAATTTCAAGAAATAATATCAAAATTTCAAAAATATTTTATTACATATCAAATTCTTTTTATATTTATATCTTTCTTGATATCTTAATAGTATTATTCAAGTAGGATTTATAGACATATTTGCATTTACAAGAATCTTTTCTTAATTTCAATCTTTGTTTGAAAATATATTAAAGATTTACAAACTTTATACAATTTAAATATATTTTAGAAACATTTGTGGCTACATTTGGAGAAAGTAACTAATCAAAAGAAACTTCACCTACTTTAATATGAATCATATTTGATTTCTATTTATGTTATATAATTTTAATAATTTGCTTGCAATATAGATTAAAAAAATAATAATCTTACAAAGTAAAAGATATGGCTTAAAAGATAATGTCAAAGTTTCATTATTGAAAATGCCAAAAGTGGATTTATAAGAACAATTCATCACTTAAGCAATTGCATGCAATAACCAACTCTTTAAAAGTTGTCAAGAAAAAAATTTAATAGAGATAGATAATTAAATAATAGCAATAACTTATATGAGTTTTTAATTTTAAAAAATTAAGATCAAGGCTTGTATAGACTAATATAATCAAATTTAAGTAATTGACAATACAAAAATAATAGAAGTTGATATAAAAACTTATATTTATATTAAAGAAATAAAGGTCATAAAATATAGGATTGTTGTATCTAATCAAATAAAATCAAAATTTAGAATTTAAGCTTAAACATAGAAAAGTTAAAAAATAAAGATATTAAGTTGTTATAAAGATCTTGCAATTAGACAACTTTAGACTACAACCATTAAATATAAGTTTCATGTTATCACTAAATCTTACACCTTCTTTTAGATTTTATATATTTGTTAATATTTCAAGTTGTAAATTCTCAACTTAAAATATTATAAGTTCTTTTAAACATTAGAGCCTGAATTTTTTTTTTATAAATAAAGACTTTGTATTATAATATAAATCAGTGCTTTCAAAAAAATCTAAACAACTCCAAAAGAAACTAATAATAGACTTCTAATTGCATCTAATTGATATTATTGTAGAAACCAAGCTCTTAAAAGTGGCATTAGAAGATTAAGTATTAGACATTTTTTTCAGCATCATTTAATATCCTTCAAATCTAGTGGTACTTGGTCTTTTAGATTTCAAATATATAATTTGAAGTAAGCCTTTGAAAACTTTAGTATAAGTTAGAATCTCACATTAACACTAATTAAAAGTCTATAACACCAATAAATTTTATTAATAAAGAACCTGGATATTTATTTACATACATTTTTTTCCTATAATGTAGAGAATGTATCATTTTGAATTTTACAATTCATTGCCACAAAAAAAAAAAAAAAAAAAAAAAAAAAATCATGAGAATCTGACTTTAAAAAATCTATAATAAATTCTATAAAAGTAAATGACCATGATTGCTGTAGAATAGATAATAGTTGAAAAAGTCCACAAAATTAATAAACCAAACAGAAAAAATCAACTTCAACTTTGGATACATAACAAGGGAAATCGCGGAGCTGGGGTGTACTGGAGATTTTCCAAATTATTTCGACAGCTTCTTTAATAGCTAGAAAACGACAGAGGATTTCACGTAATTGTATGCAACAAGCCCCTCCATAATCTTCATGCACCAAGACTTAGCAGCAATTGACGTGTCCGATGATGCACTTGTGCATGCGTTCCATAGCTCTTGGGACGTCCAGCCGTGACGCTCTGGGACGCGCCGTGACAAGCCGCGGCTAGCCGCCCGCGTCTCGGAGTCTCACAATGCACAACTTGGGCGTGATACTAGCGTGACATGTGGATTGTGCGTTTGTGAAGGGACGATCCCTGGACCGCCTAGAGTTGCAGGTTAGCATCAGACTCTACACCCGGCTCTGTTCAAGAGATTGTGTTGCTGGCAGAAATCGCCAAGGCTTCATTTTTGGGAGGATCAGGGGTTCCTACGCCTTGCAGCTATGAGGGGTGTGTTGCGGGGTCTTCAAGGGCGTGTTTTCAACTTGGGCGCTCTTTGCGCTGACTGCATGAATGCGTTTCATACAGGTGATTTGTTCTTGGTCACTCGGATTCTTGATTAGGTCACCGCTGGCAGTGTAATTCCTTCAAGAGGCTTGCTGTTGTGTGCGAAATTTGAGAGTCTTGCTTCCATGGACATACATTGAATGTGCAGGTAGTTGGTCCATTCGCAGGTAGGCTGACGCAATTTGGGCGAGACTTTGGGACTACGATTGCAAAAAAGACTAGGGTGCTGAGTTTTGGAGATGGTAGCCATGGGGCACTCGGACACACAGATTGCTTCGGCGGTGATGCGTATGAGCCTCGAGAAATTAATGGTTTGCCGGAAGATGTGGTGAGTGTGGGAGCTGGACATTACCATTCCATGGCCGTGGCACAAACAGGGGAGCTATGGGCTTGGGGTCGCAATTTGGAAGGTCAGCTTGGTGAAAGAGACGGAAACACCAGGTAGGTACACTCACCCTTGTCCAGTTTGTGTCTACACAGAAGCTTGCTCAATCAGTTCCTCACAAACAAGAAAGAGTGGCATTCTCCATAACTCCAAGGTTGTTTCTATGTCACGATGCCGGAGGGTTATTCCAATTTGTTTCATACGATGATTTTGATGGGTGACGAACATAGAGAAAAATGGCATCAACCGCAAAGAGTGCGAGGTTTGGAAAGCGTTGAAGTTGTATCAGCAAGAGGGTCGGGGGTTGTTTCCATGGCCATTGCAAGAGACGGATCATTGTGGACGTGGGGCAAGTCTAAACGCGGGCAGCTTGGCTTGGGCACCAAAATCATGTATGCTCAAACCCCGAAGCGGGTGGAGGCCCTTGTGGGGCAACAAGTGGTGCAGGTGAATAGGTATTACTGCCCTTCGGTCCTCAAATCTGTGGCATCTGTCCTCTTAAGCTGCGTTCCTCATGCTTTGTCCTGTTTTCGAATGTATTCGTAACTGGTGAATTATTGTTGGAAATTCTTGTTTAACCTTTTTGTGAGGTCTACTTCAAAGAATTAACATGCTGCAGGTTGTCCTTGGCAGGTAGCGTTAGGCTGGGGTCATGCTCTTGCGCGCACAGCTGAAGGCCATGTTTACAGCTGGGGTTACGCAGCGAACGGCCGCCTTGGGTTCCAGCTATCCGACTCTGAATCTGCTGAAACTTCAGTAAAGAAAACCAGTCCTACGGCCATTGCTCGTGTCGATAACGAATCTATTGAAGAGGCGGCATACCGGCAAGTCCTAGAAGATATGGAGAAAGAGAAGAGTCCGGTTCTGGCTTGGGAGCCTGTTCGAATTAACTCACTGTGCTCGCAACATGTGACAGAAATTAGTTGCGGGATGGACCATTCTCTGACATTAAATGGTAGCACTGCCCATTCTTGTTGTCTTCCATTTTAGTGTTTTATTAGAAAGCAGTTCTATTTGGGGGTGGCTGATGTAGTCATATTACGCTGCATCACTAGGCTAAAATGAATCTCTCTGTATTGCATCAGAGAAAGGAGAGCTCTGCAGCTTTGGTGACAACAGCTTGGGACAACTCGGCAGGTCCACTGCAATTTCTGCTGTGCAGTCTAGCATTTTCGCAGTGGAGAATTCAGAGGATCATGTGCAAGGTCTTATTAGGGGGGAAAAAGTACTTCACGTAGGTGCAGGTCTTGGTCACTCTTTGGCTGTCACTGCCCAAGGATCAATCTATTCGTGGGGCTGGAATGCTGGCCACCAGCTTGGTAGAGATGAACGGCAGGATAGTTCTCTACCAGCATGCGTTGAAGATGTCGAAGGAGATGTGGTAGCTCTAGTTGGTGGTCGTGCGCATTCCTTGGCACTGACATCGCAAGGACAACTCTGGGTGTGGGGCAGTGGGAAGAATGGCAGGCTAGGACTAGGCAGCCCTGCCGATGAGCCTTCGCCACTTCTTCTAGAGAGCTTGGAGAATCACTGCATTGCGGAAGTCGCTTGCGGCTTCGATCATTCTCTCATTCTCCTTATCTCTTAGCTCACATGTCAAAGCTTGTAGTGAATGGTTTCCTCAACATTACTGCAGTTTGTTGCAAAGTGTGAGTTCAATATGCTTTTCGTCTAAATATACTCTTCGCCGGGTCGGAAATACCATCGTAAGTAAGGAGAATAGTTTTTCGGCTTTCCTCGAGCGGTATGTTGACGAGACCAATTCGCAGGTTTTACAGATCTAAATAGTTACAATGTTCTGATGTTGAAAACCCAGCACCGTCTTGGTTACCATCACTGACCCCTCGGCTGTTCGTGCTTATTGTGTGGCAGCAATCAAGTACACGCTTCATCGCCTGTTCTTCTATGGAATCTTTCGCTAGGTGTGTGGTGTTGGAGCCTCGACCTTCCACAGGAACCACCGCTGGATGTTGAGCCCGTGAAGATATAGCAACAGCAAGTAAATGATATTTGATTTGTATTCTTGTAATATATATATATATATATATATATATACATAGATGTTTGAAATATCTAATATAATTTTAGAGTTCTATTACTATGGAAGAACTTCGTTATATTCTAAAATACTCCTTCAATAAAGGTGTGGTTGAATTATCTCTTGAAAGATGTGTATCTTATTGGACAAACTTTTCTTAGCTCTACATTGGTAGTGATTGTTATCTTTATGTTTTACTAATATTGAATTTATTATGCTATCCTTGTTTTTTCCTATATTACCACCAATTTGCTAGTTAGTTGAATTTTCTTCTATTAGTTTAATTGCTGTGCTATTATATCAAATATAGTAGTTTGATATCCAAATTTGTTTTATTGATACAAAAGAGCATGTTTTCTTGTATAACATTTACATAATTCTACTCTAATGGAAGTAGAATTTTAAAAAAGAGGTAATTTTGTTTGTGCTCTATTTGGCTACTATTAAATATATACTATCTTAGATTCATTGAAAGAAAGTAATAGATAAATACAATAGGTTCTTATATTACTTCAGTAAATAGAAGTAAGTAGAAGTAGTAAAAACATATTAAGTATATAATTATTTTTAGAAAACTTGAAATTTTTTTATGTACAAATTAGATCTCTATATTTCTATAGATATGCCATAATTATTAAAACTTATCTTAAAAGTAAAAAACTTCTAGGACAAGTGATAATAATTACATCATATATATATATATATATATATATATAAAAGAATATAGAAATCTAATTAATATTTAGGGAATTTCATTAAATTTATTTAGATATATATTATTTACCAAATGTATATATATATATATATATATATATATATATATATTTATATATATATATTTTCTTCTATTTACTTAAGTAATTTTGACATTTGTTACAATATCTCTCCCTCTTTCTAATTTCTATTTTTTTTAGAAATAAGTTTTTATAAGAATTAGTTTAATTGTTTCATAAGTTCTTAAAATCCAAGATTTTTCAAATGATATCAGCAATAAATTCTAATTAATATTTTATACACATATGTTTGATGGATCTTTTGAAACATTAATAATGTTTTATACTAGAATAAAGAATATGGATATTTTTAAAAAAGAACAATTTCTATTTAAAACTTATAATAAGATATGGTTACTTTGTTGTATTATTAAGATTAATTGACCTTATAATAATTTGAAATATTAAAGAATTTATCTTTTATATATTCAATAATAGATTAATTTAGTTCCATATTGATTGATAGGTTAGAAACTTGATTAACAAGTTAACCACGTGTCAATAGCTTGCGGAACAAGCTAACTATGTGGCGTACATATAAAGAACTTGCTTTATATGTTAAGATATGTGTCTTGTGAAGTCCACATGTTTTAGAGGTCTTACAAGAGATTGCCTTATAGCTCCTGGTTAAGAGTATATATGGAGGAAAGACTGAAGACTTCTTCACTCTTCTCAATATCTTTCTAGTACTTGGTCTTGTTTTAAGACTTTCTAGTTTTCTTATTTTTGGCAATAGCCATTGTAGTTTAATACTATACCATCTTTGAGTGGCTTTTTAGTTCTTTTGAATAATACAAGAGTGTATTGAGGATTTCTTTCTTTGAGTTGCATGTCCTTGATAGTTTGACAAGAGTGCGAACTTTTTGTTCTTGTCTTGTTTTAAAAGTGAGTGGATTACTGTCACGGACATATATTTATTCCAATAGTTACTTATATGATTAGGTAGAAGTAGGTAAATATAGATTAATTCTATAAAGTCTTCTAAAGAAGCTTTCTAGAAGCTTCATAGACACGGTTTTGACTTTAGATGTGTTTGTTGGATAGAAACTTGGCCAAAAAATTAACCACATGTTGGTAGCTCATGGAACAAGTTAACTCCGTATAGTAGCTTAAGGAATAAGCTAATTATGTGGCACATACATAGATAACTTGCCTTGCAAGTTAAGACCTGTGGCTAGCAAAGTCAATACATGTTGGAGGGCTTATAGAATCTTGTCACATAACTCTTAATTAGAGAATATATATATGGAGGCAAGAGTGAAGCCTTCTTCATTCTTGTCAACACCTTTATAATCTTTAGTCTTGGCAATAGCTATTATAGTTTAATATTACATCACCTTTTGAGTGACCTTCTAGTTTTCTTTACTGACACAAGAATATATTGAGAATGTTCTTTCTTCAAGATTCATGTCCTTCATAGTTTGATAAGAGTATTAATATATTGTTTCTATCTTATTTTAGAAGAGAGTGGATTATCCCACTTCTATTGTTGAATTTTGAAGGTTGTGGACTACCTACCTTTAAAACAAAAGTATTATTTTCTAAAACTAACCTTTCTTTAAAAAGAGTGGATTACCTCTCATTGTCGAAATTTTTAGTAGAGGTTGCAGATTACCCTCTTATAATTTAACTTTTTGGATTTGTTTGAGTTGCCTATGAAAGAAAAGATTATGGATACTACTCTTAATGAAAGTTAGAATAGATTTGCAATTATTGCAAATCTTCATGAGCTTGTCAATACTTTAAGAATAGAAATCTCATGTATTTCTAATATGAATCATAGAGGTACTATGCCTATGCCTATGGAAGAAGTTCAGAGTTTGTGACAAGAGGTTGTATAATTAAAAGAAGCAGATAGATTGATCTCACAATCAAATCTAGAGAGTTTTACTTCTATAAGTATGATGGAGACAAAGATTAGTATGTCTAAGAAGTTTGATGGAACAAGATCAAAATTTTGAAGATTTTTGCAACAAGTCAAGCTCTATCTAAGGTTGCACCTTTTCCAATACTTTGATGGATTTACTCAAGTCGGATTCATTAGTACACTTCTATCAGGAAATGCTCTCTCTTGGTTTGTACCTTTAATGGAAAAAGATTTGCAACTCCTTTATGATTTGAATTCATTCCTAGAAATATTTATGGCTACATTTGAAGAAAGTGATCGAGAAAGAGTAGTAAAGATCAAGCTCTTATCTTTACAGCAAGGATCACGATCAGCCACCATATATGCTGCTGAATTTTAAAACCTCACTTGCGATGTAGACTGGAATGACAAACCTTCATCAATCAATTTCAATATGGATTGAAAGATAATGTTAAGGACTTGTTACTGATAATGCCAAAGAAAGAATCTTTAAAATAATTTAATATTCAAGCTATTGCATGTGACAATCAATTATTTGAAAGGTATTAAGAACAAAGATATGGCTGAAGAAGAACAAATTTAATAATGATGGCAGCTCTTAAGTTTTCAAAAACTTATTTATCAAAGCTAGAATTAATGCAAATTGATACAATATGTTTTAAATCCCTCACAGAGCAGGAAAAGAATTGATGACGTCAAGAAGGCTTATGCTTATATTGCGGAGAAGCTAAACATACTACTAAATATTGTCCGAAGAAACAATATAATTACAAAATAAAAAGCACGATTGCCAAAGAAGAAAATGTGTTGAAAAACGAGTTGCTCCAACTATAATAGGGACTGTGTGGCTGAAATCATGTGCAACATCTAGTAAAGGTCCTATTCTCTCCTCTGATCCTTTACCTTATTTTATAATAGAATATCTGTTTAAGACCAAAAAATCACAAAGTCTTAGCCATGTTGGATTCAAGAACCTTAGCTTGTTTTATACATGAAGACTTTGTCAAAAAATACAATATATCCTTAATTAAAAAAATCAAACCTATGCATGTAGAAGTAATAGATGGACGTTTATTATCTTTTGGAGATATTACACATGAAACTATTCCTATAGAAGTAACAATTAATAGTAACAATAGTTTAACAATATTTAATATTACTAAACTCCTTTTAATCTAATTATTTTAGAATTATCGTGGTTAGAAAGATATAACCTTCAGATAGAATAGATTTCTTACAATCTTGATTTTTTTCATAGTTTAGCCCAAGGTCCTGTGCTAGGCAAGTAAAAATCCATAAGTCTAGTATATCCAAATTCCTATTAGTAGGTACCAAACTTTTCATACATGCCACAAATGAAGGGCCATCTTTTGCTATATATGCCACACCTATTGTTGATGGTGAGAAAATATCAAGTGATATTCTTAGCTAGTGTCAAGATTTCTAAGACGTATTTTTTTTAAAAATGTAAATATTATTTTAGAGCATCATCTTTATTATTGTACCATCAATCTTTAAGAAGGAACTCAACCACCAATTGGAATAATCTATAGCTTATTATAAAATGAGTTGGTTGCACTCAAAGAATACATTGATGAAAACTTGGCTAAAAATAACTTTATATGTGTGAGGATAAATTTCTTCCTTACTCCAAATTATAAGTTAGCTTTAATTAAGATTTTTTTTATAATTGGTGGTGTAAAGTGGAAGTAGCAATAAAGAAGAACAAAAGAAGAACAATACAAAACAAGTGAAATAAGTGCAATCAAGCCATTGTACACTACAAAACTAGTCACAATCTATTAACTAGATTTTTATTCAAAAAAAATTAAAAATAAAAGTAAAAAATATATTTTTAGATATATGATTTTTTTTATCTTTCCAATGACATAAAACTGAAGTAATTCCAAGTTAATATGAGTAAGTTATAATAGATTAAAGATAGAATGTAAATAATAGAAAAGTTAAGTGAATAATTTTTACCTCAAGGATAACTTGCTTAAGAAATCAAGAGCTCGAGCCTCACCAAGGCTCAAAAGTAGTATATGTTGGTCCTCCAAAGTGGCCTTGAGGCCTTAGTCTTATCTTCCTATCTATACCCAAGGTGCTACAACCAATATGGGAATTATGCACCTCTCTTCCTACAAGGACTACACTAGCTGCTGGTCCTCCTATTTTCTACAAATAAAACTATTTTTTTTTGTATTTTTGACTTCACCTTGATATTCAAAAATGCCCAATTAGCCTAGAAACCTTCTAAAGTCTTCAAATCTTACTTCATTTCTTCATAGTGGCTCTCAAGGTGGTAAAACTCAATTTTACCAAAGTCTTGAAATATTTTCTAAAAATTCATAAAAAATCCTAAATAAATTCTAAATAAATTCTAAATAAATTCTAAAAAATCCTATAATATTTATATAATACTAATATCCATATAAGGCTATATTTTTATATTTTTATATTTTTTTATAATAATAAAATCAATTTAA